AATTACGTGAACATGGGATACGAAGAATTACTATTGTCCTATTTCGTAAAGGTCAATATCCGGGGTATTTCACGTTCTGTGAAACAACAGATTTTAATGAGGATCAAACAATTCGTCATATCGAACCAGCCATGACCTATCAACTTGAGCTTACTAGGTTATCCAATTTCGATATTACTCCTTGCTATACCGACAATAGACAGGTTCACGTTTATTATGCCGTTGATAAAGAAAATACTTCGGATTGTAGATTCTTCATTCGATCCTGATCGGTTGCGAAATAGGCGGATTATCTAATCTCGGAATCCTACAGATTATTGAATTAGATTTTAGATCGTTAGTTCCGAACATAAGAATTCTGACTGCAATCATTTATTTATAAATTTCATTCCAACATTTGTGTTAGAACCAAAACAAGTTGAGGAAGCTGTTAAAGGATTTATTAATCGGCACAAAAAAAGATTATGGAGGTTGCGTGTGACCGAAGCCGAAGTTTGTTTCAAAGTTGAAGACCCTACATTAGTAACAAGTTATCCTTTACGTGTCATCATTAATAATGTCTCCGGGTATGTTGTTAAAGTAGAAACTTATCAGGAGAGTGAAGACAGAACGTGAAAGCTGGATTCTTAAATCAATTGGTCGACAGGGTTCAATGCACTTGCAACCAACCCACACACTTTACCAACAAAAGAATGGCTTCAACCAAGCGTTATAAGGCTCATTTAATGGGTACCGCCTACGCTTCCGGTGGTAGTAAATTAAAAAAAAAATTAATAAATAAATCTTATTTTAATCAATACTTAAAATAGAGGACCATACAGAAGAATGGGAAAATGCAATACGAACTCTGAGAAACGGTATAAACCGTCTTCTCAATGATCATAATGTCGACAAATTGTGTTTAAAAATTGAAGGAATTGATCTAGAGAGGAAATCTATATGATGATAGAGAATTAGTATTATTTCATGCTTTGCTTTTAGACATTCCAAATCACTTGGTTGATACGGAGGTTCTTATTAATGTTTACCACAATGAAGTGAAAGAAACAACACTCTTTGTGCCTACGCTTACGATTTTCCCGAATTATTTCGCCAAGCAATTAGAATACTATGGAATCGTGCATCTCATCGTAGTTCAAACCTTAAATGTCCTAGTGATGTTTTGGAAGCCAAAGAACTTGTGCTTGACGAGAATAATAATTTACAAGAAGTGGAGAAAGCTTTAGAAACGAATTAATTTGCATGGATCTTTACTCTTTTTACCTCCCGAATATCCCAAAGTTAGAAATATTATCGTGATTACAAATGATATTACATATCACATTGGATCTTTTGGTCCTTTAGAAGATCAATTTTTTACAAAGCAACCGAATTGGCAAGATCATTGGGAATACCTAGAGTATACATGGCAGCAAATTCTGGTGCAAGGATTGGATTGGCGGAAGAAGTTATGAATCATTTTAACGTTGCATGGATTGATAAAGGAAATCCAAGCAAAGGTATCAAATATCTTTATCTTGATTCGGAGATATATAAGCAATTACATCAAAATGGAAGGAAATCCGTTATCACGGAAGAAATTGTTGAGGAAGGAGAAATACGACATACCGATATTATTGGATCAAAAGATGGGCTTGGTGTTGAAAGTTTGAAGGATTCAGGATTAATCGCTGGGATAACATCGCGAGCATATGAGGTAGTTGAGTTAGTATGTATTCATTGCAAGTCTAATTTTTAAAAATTTTTTCTCTTAACCTTTTTTTATTATCTTTATTAAGGTATTAAAATTTAATTGGAAATAGGATTCAATCATATCATCTTTTATTAAAATTAATATTTGTATAAATATATAATGTATTCTTTACATAATTATTTTTAAATATATTAATAATAAAAAAAATAAAACATTCTACATGCTGATTTCTTCTTTTACATCAATCAACCTTTAAATTAATAAAATGATAGATAATTTTATAATATACAGTATATAAATAAATTACTTAATCATGTTTTAAAATTATATCCAATTAAAATGGAGAAATTAGAATATGACATTTTAATTGCATATCAGAAATATGTGTTAGGTGATACCAACAAAATTTTGTGACCACTGATATGCAACTATTTATTACGCTTATCACACCTGCCTTGATTCATTTTTTACTATTTATTTGAAAGACGAGAATTATTTTATGCATGAAATCATATTATCATATTTTATCTGTCATACCTTAAGATTTAGAATAGGGGTTATGCATAATGCATGCCTAATATCATATGATTGTCAGTGTCACTAGGATAGTTGTCATAGCCATATAACTAAAGCTTAACGATTTTATATTTGAATAATATTCGAATTATTCAGGTTAATAAAACCTATTCAAATATTTGCTAAATAATTAATATTTGGCGAATAAACTAACTTTATTTGAATGAAAAATTATTAGTCAAATATTCAGTCTAGTGTCTGGAATTATAAATGATTTACAAAATTGCATTAATAGTATAATATGCCCAGTTTATTTTTATTGTTAGTATGAAATTTGGTCTGTTAAACTTTGGATTGGTACTTTATTGATTATTTCTAACCTAATTAGGATTCAAATATTGCTGAATATAATAAATAGCCAATAAAAATTTTCAAAAAACTATTGATTACTTTTATTTTATTATTTCACAATCTTATGATATTAGAGAAACTTTTATTTAATCTAACTTTACATTTATATCATCTGAAATTTAAATGCAACATAATATTTCGTAAATTACAATTTTCATAATATTTCAGAATATTATGTTATAAAATTATACGAGTTTACAAGTTTGTAAGATTTATGAAACATTACGGTGAAATCCTACATAGGATTATAAACTGTATTTTTTACATAATAATATAGTCGAAATCCTTTATAAGGTTACGAATCATAAGATTTACAAAACATTATAATGAATTTTATGTAGAGTTACAGTATCATAAGATTTACAAAATATTATGAGAAAATCCTATATATAGTTATGAGCTCGTAAAATTACGAAATATTATGATAAAATTTTATGTAAAGTTATGAGATCATATGAAATCTTACATAATATTAAAATTTCATATCATAGATTTAAAATTAGTAATGTATGTATTAAACTATTTAATATAAATAATGAGTACTGTTACTGGGAATAATTATCTTTGTATTATATGTATTTCACTAAGTTACTTTATTGCGATAAGTAAATTCCTTATCATCAAACTTTACAACCTTAGGGAATCTCACATCTTACTTGTATCCGAAATGCCTTGGAATTACTTCACTTGACTTTACAAACTTAAAGGTTTAGGGACTTAGGAACAAACATAGAGAATTTGTTTATTCTAAGTGACGAACTCAAAAGCAAGTTAGTGTAGTAGTTCACAATTAAATCCTAAATGATGGATACATAGAAGAAAAAAGTAATTGTTTTTCAAAATTGATTCCTTTATATATTATTTGAAACTCACAAGTATTTTAGAACTTACAAGAAAGTTAATTTACAATTAAAGAAAAAAGCTATTCTATTTATACAAAATTAATTTACTACAGTTAATTAGTTACTACACTATAAACTAACTAAATTTATAGTTACAAGTGCTAATATAATGATAATAATAATAATAACAAAGATAATAATTATAATAGAAATAATAATAATAATAAAAATAATAAAGATAATGATAATAATTAAAATAATGGAAATACAGGAAATTAGAAAGATCTAATGAATCATGACGATTATGCAAATTCATTAAATCTTAAAAATCCTAAAAATTCTATAAATTTTACAGATCATTTGACACAATATTTGTCAGACTTATTATGTCATCATTCCATTAGTCACTGATGATTGGCGTAATAAAGTTGATTTCTGACATTAACAATTCTCCTTCCACTTGAATTTCAAACGTATTGAGAAATAATTTCGTTCTTGAAATTAAGTCAAAAATCTGTTTCTTGATAATCTTATGAACTTTCATGATAGTCAAGATTTGAGTCCTTAATAGTTGCAATATTCTAATTTCTCTAAAAATGGTAAAGACTTTCTGGATACTTTATATTAGTGTAAGTTTATCATTAATTTGACCCTCTTATATTTAGAGTCATCTATTTTGTCTAGGAGTTCTCCAGCTAAATACATATAGACAAGCATTCCTATTTATTTCTTCATCATTTTTGCTCGTTGATAATGTCTTTGAATTGTCTTCATTTAATACTTGCATCATTTGATTCATTATAAGATCTTGGTCATAAATCGGTTTGAATGGGTTCTAATCATGTTAAATCATTATAAATGTCCTCCATTTTTTTCAGAAATAAAGAATGTAGATATTTAATATTTTTTTGCTCCTTAAATATTAAAATTATTATTGATCATCACATGGGATTTTCATGATTGTCTATTAAAATATTCTTTTAAGAAATTACTATTTACAGGTTTGGCTAATAATCGTCTATCTATTTCCTTAATTTGTATGATCTGTTAATTAGAACTTTATGAATCCTATAAGATTCTTTTCATTTTGATTCTAGTTTTCTTGAAAATTGGTTCATTTTGGCGACATTATAATACAAAACTTTTTGTCTAATATCAAATGACTTTGGCTTAACCATTTGTTTATTATGGGTCGCTTTCTGTTTATTTTAATAGCGATCATTGTTTGTTTTACTTTTTCTCTAATTTCAGGTAATTTATCTGTAATTTAATGAATTCTGTCAATCAAATTTTTGTCTTGTTGATCCAAATGATCATCCAGGGGTAATTTGGCTTCTCTTTCATAGGTCAGCAGAAAGGGTGACTTTTTTGTAGATAACTGTTAGACTGTATGATAAGCAAATAATACAGAAGCAATGTATAGATCCCATTTAGTTTGTTATTTAATAAGTTTTACTAATGATTCCTTTAGAGTTTTGTTAAACTATTCCACTTGTCCATTTGTTTGCAAATAATAAGAAGTGATGTTTAATTTTAAATTTTTCCATTAATTCTTTTATCATTGTATTATTAAAGTATGTACTATAATCAGTTAAAATTTTCATAGGATAGCCATGTCTACAAATAATATCTTCATAGATGAATTGAGCAACTTGACTGGTAGTTGCTTTTTTAACAGCTTTTGCTTCAGGTTATTTAGTAAACATATTAAGAGCTATAATAAAATATCTATTTCCTTGAAGTGTAATTGGTAGAAGTCCAACAAAATTTGCTATAGGGTAAGATAGGATGTAATTTATTGTTTTTATTTGGTCTTTCTTTACGTTGACAAGAATCACAAGTTTTAACATATGTTTTGATATTTTCATACATTTGTGGCCAATATATCGTATTCTAAGTTTTTGAACATTATCTTAATTCCAAAATGTCTTGCTATAGGGTCATTATGCATAATATATAATATTAGTTCTAATTCATATCATTTGAGAACTTGTAGAAGGTATCCAACTCGTTTTCTATTATATCGGTATAAATTTGAATTTTAAATTGTAAAGTATTTGGTCATGTTGATAAACTTTTTCTTTTCCTGATTTGATTGAACATAATCAGGATATTTGTTATATCTTAAATATTATTGTATTTTCAAGTATTATTGTATATCCATATTGAATAATTGAACTGTAAGTCATAATGCTTACACTTTCGCTTACACTCAATTAAATTATTCGAACTTTGAGACTTTTACTCACGAGATGCTATTTAACTAGATATTATCTCTTTAAAATAATAAAATATTTTATAATTATTGTGATTTTGCTAGGTATATACATATATAAATTATAATTAAATAAATAAACTATATAGAGATAAATATTTAATAATTAGGAGGTACTAGATCTACTAAAGGTTTCGTCAAAGGTTGAAGAATAGATAGAATTAATAATTAGTGTGAAAAGTCCAAATATTTTATCTAATTCATCCTTAGTCACATATTTGAGGATTTTTAGTTAGTTTCAATAATTTGATTGCTGCAATACAAGCTTCATCATTTCATTATACTTCTTTTAGTATATCTCAGAATACTTCATTGATCAGAGTTTCAGATACCATTTCAAGATGTATTTGTCTAAGGTTATAGCTCACAATATATTCATGGTTTAAGTTAGTGGTAATAATTGTTTCACAAAGGGTATAATTAACAGAATATTCTTAAGCAAATTTCTCAAGTTGGTTACCATCCATTCATTTGACAATAGTTTGTCTAAATTTAGCAGCTTTTAAGAAAATATCATGCAAGTCTTATCTCCAATCTTGTTTTTTCCTATTGAGAATAGATTCAATTTCTTCTTCGCTGAAGTTAAATTCTGATCTACTATTATCTTTTATTTGTTCAGGTGGTTGTTCATTTTCTGTTTCTTCATCATCAGATGTCATGTTTAGATATTCGTAATATTCATATTATTATATTAGCAGATGGTATGTTCAATTGGTAAAGATATGTAGTTTCTATATGGGTTGACATATTGATAACATTCAATATAATACTAATGAGAATGATAATCATTCTCATTACAAGTATGGCTATTTTTTGCGATACTTTTGTTATTATGCAATCCATTCTATTACCATTTCGTTTGACATTCAGGAACATTTAATGCTGAAAAATGTACTTGAATCCAGTAGTTAGGTTCTTTCTCATATTTATTAGTTAATGTTATATTAATTGAAACCATTTGAGAAAATATGCCGGCATTTTGATTTCTAACACCTGGTCTGTATTTGATAGTAAAATCATACGCTTGTAGAAATAAATCCTATCTTGCGACTCGTTCTTTCACATGTTTAGTAGTTAATAACCAACTTAAAGCAGAGTGATTAGTGACCATTTTAAACGGTTGATAATATAAATAATGGTCAAAATGTTTGATAGACCATCTGACTGCAAAACACTTCCTCAGTAGTAGTGTATTTTAATTCTAAACTAGAGAGTTTCTACTAGCATAAGCAAAAGGATATTCATAGTCTTATTCATCTTTTTGAGTAAGTATGACTCTGAAATCTTCATCTAAAGCATCTGTTTGTAAAATGAACTTATTTTTTAAAATTGATTGAGCAAATACTGAAGCAGAAATCATCTTTTCTTTCAGAACATCAAAAGAATCTTGATATTTAGGAGTCTAAGACCAAACAGTATTCTTTTTAATAAGGTCATGCAATGGTCTAACAATTTTTGCAAAATTTTGAATAAAGCGTCAATAATAGGAGAAAAATCCTAATGCTATGCGTACTTTTTTAGGATTTTTTGGAATCGGTAAATCAATCATTGCTTGAATCTTCTTTTGATTTTGATTTGATTTTATTGCTTCCTATGATATGACCTAGAAAACTTATTTATTTACAGAATGTACATTTACTTTGGCTTAATTTTTAATCCTACTTCCTTAAGCCTATTAAAACTTGTTGTATGTATACGTATCTGAACGTTTGATCGAAAGCCATTTGACTAAAAACTATATCACTTGTATGCATAATATAAATAATAATTTTATAGTAACAATATCAATTGAAGAGTGATGTTTAATGCGATGACAAATAGATTCGGTCAAATAACTTTTGGTCAAATATACTGTAACTGTATGTGTGTATAATAGTGTTTTGCACGGATCAGATCAGATCGGATTTAAGCAAAATCCAATTTAATCTGAATCTGAAAAATTTGAATCCGATTTGATCTGAATCTGACAAATCTGAATCTGAATCTGTATTCATATCCGAAAATCTGAATCTAAATCTGTATCTGTATCTGACAAATCCAAATCCAAATCTGAAGAATCGAAAAAAATTTTTTAGGTTTTTAAATGCCTACAACGTTCAGAACGTCATTTATGTTTAAAAAAATATTATTATTGTTTTTTTAAATATTTTACGCCTCCGATGCGTTATATTGTAAAAAAACAAGCAAAAATATTGTTTTTTTAACAATATTGCGCATCAGAATCATTTAGAATAGCATTTTTGTTGAAAAAACAATATTCTTATTGTGTTTTTCAACAATTATGCGCATCTGAAATGTTCAGAATGACATTTTGTTAAAAAAATCAATAAATTTATTGTTTTTTTCAACAATAATGCGCATACAAACGTTCATATTATTATAAAAACAATATAATTATTATTTTTTTTAACTATTTTATGCCTCTGACGCGTTATATTATAAAAAATAAAAAAAAATGGTTTTTAATAATATTGTACATCTGAATCGTTTAGAACGGCATTTTTGTTAAAAAAACAATATTTTTATAGTTTTTCAAAAATAATGCGCATCTTAAACGGCATTTTTATTAAAAAAAAATTCTTATTGTTTTTCAACAATAATGCGCATCCAAAATGTTTGGAATGACATTTTGTTGAAAAAATAATAAATTTATTGTTTTTTTCAATAATAATGCACATACAAACGTTCAGGACTATGTATAACTGTTAAAAATACAAAAAAAAATATTTTTTTTAATAATTTTACGTCTTCGACATTTGGAATAGTGTTATAATTATTTGTTTTTTTAACAACTCTATGCCTCCGATGTTCAGAATAGCGTCATATTGTAAAAAATAATATAATTATTGTTTTTTAACAATTTTACGCCTTTGACATTAGGAATGGTGTTATATTGTAAAAAACAAAAAAAAATATTGTTTTTTAACAATATTGCGCATACAAACGTTCGGAATTACGTATTATTGTTAAAAAAAAAAAAATATTGTTTTATAACAATTTTACACCTTCGACATTCAGAATGACGTTATATTGTAAAAAAAACAATATTATTATTGTTTTTTTTAATAATAATTCGCCTCTGACATTCAGAATAGCATATATTGTAAAAAAACAATATTATTATTTTTTTAACAATTTTATGCTTCCGATGTTCAGAATGGCGTTGTTTTAAAAAAAAAATACTATTGTTTTTAACAATGAAATCTGCCTCTGACTTTCAG